GCGTTGCGCCCGCACCTCGCTCAGCCAGTGAGCGGCCGGTCTGTATGTGGGATCCAAACCCTCGGCGGGAGCGCCGTCGCGCTCCCAAGCGGCGCACTGTAGCAGTGCGCCACCGGGCCGGCCCTAAGTATGATATTTTGATTCCCTTCTTAAGCAAATTCACCCATGCCAATTCTTATCAAACTTATATTTTTGTTTTATTTAAATCTGGGAGGACATATCAAAAAATTATATAGAGTGTAATTTATTTTTTATTTTTTGTTTTCCCCTTTATCTTTTTTTAATTAATGAATAGGTACTGTTTATATTTCTTTTAATAGTTGCATTCTTAGAGCAAGAATGCAAATGTTTTCAGATCCTCCATAAAAGTAGTTGAAATAGGGCCAGCCCGTGGCTCACTTGGGAGAATGTGGTGCCGATAACACCAAGGCCACGGGTTCAGATCCCTATATAGGGATGGCTGGTTAGCTCACTTGGGAGAGCATGGTGCTGGAGAGCGTGGTGCTGACAACACCAAGTCAAGGGTTAAGATCCACTTACCAGTCATCTTTTTTAAAAAAAAGTAGTTGAAATAGCATTGTGTCTTACTCCACTCAATTTCAAACATTTAGAATATCATTTTCTTCCAACATCCTTTTAAATGAGGGTTTAGATAAATACAAGCAGTATCTGAGATGCCAAGGTTAGCTATGAAGCAAAAGGATGTGCTCTAAACCACGTAAAGGATTTCAAAGATATACATTGTTGAAAATCATTCTCAGCAAGGACAATTGAAAATTTTAATGTTCGTGGTTGTTAACCTAAAATAGTGCTGACCACAAGAGGGGCTCAGTAAATATTTGCTGAATGAGTGTATTCTGAGTGGAACCTGGCTTAAATATGTCTGTTTTATCTGCAGTTCCCACAGAAGGTGCCTATTTTACCATTTCCAGAGTAGGAGGCAAACGAGGAGTTATCAAGGAACTTGCTGTCACGTTGCAAGGACCAGAAGATAATGCTCTACTGTTTGAATCAAGGTTTGAGAGTGGAAATCTGCAAAAAGCTGTCAGAGTGTGAGTAACATGAGAAATTTCCCAAAGGAATGATGATCGCAGTGACTGAGAAGTGTCTTCAGGAATGATATTAGGAATCAGGAGTGTTTGCAAAAGAGAGAGAGGTGATGGGAAATGGTTATGAGGATGAAGAAGAATGGGGTAATTATGACTCATTTTTTTCCTGCAATAAAACATTATCTAAATTGTTTCTTCTGCTTCTAAAAGAACTGAGTGCTCACTAAAAATTTGTATTAGTAAAAATACATAACATAAAAAGCCCAATAATTATACCTCCCAGATGCAGCAGCTATTAACAGTTTGGTGTATCTGCCTTAATTTGTTTCTCTGTGTGTGTAACATACACAAATTATATATTTTTAAAAATAAAAATTGACGGGCTGGTCCCGTGGCTCACTCGGGAGAGTGCAGTGCTGATAGTGCTGAGGCTGCGGGTTCGGATCCTATATAGGGATGGCCGGTGCGCTCACTGGCTGAGCGTGGTGCTGACAACACTAAGTCAAGGGTTAAGATCCCCTTACCGGTCATCTTTATTAAAAAAAAAAAAAAAAGGAAATTTTTGTTCAGTGACTAACAGAATTAATACCCTTATGCATTATATTTTTAAGTATTGTGGTTTTAGGGGATGAAGTCTAGGAATAAAATTGCTGAGTCAAAATGTTTGAACACTTTAAGTATTGCTAGTTATTGCCAAATTGCCCTCCAACGGGATTTCAGTTCCAATCAGCAGTGTATGAATTTCCCAGTTCTGTAATGCTGATCAGATAGAGGGGGAAATGATACCTTATTTTAATTTGCATTTCTTTAATTACACATATAGGTGAACATCTTTTCGTGTTTTTTGGGGGGTGGGCTGGGGGTACAGCTGGTCTGTGCAGGGATCCAAACCCTTGACCTTGGTGTTATAACACTGCGCTCTAACCAACATATGTTTTTTTGCTGTTTGCGCTCTAACCAACATATGTTTTTTGCTATTTCGTTCTCTGCGAGTTAGTTCTGCTTATTTTAAACAAAATGCGTGCATTCCGTAGGTACTCCTCATCTCCAAACAATGAATCACCAGAGATAAAAACAACACTGAGGCTTAAGGGTCTCGTTCACACGGTTTTCTCTAGGATGGTCATGCTAATAGCCAACAGAGGGCTCTGGCTTTGCTACTTTTTAGTATGTTTCAGAGAAATGTACTGCATTGGTTAGAAACTGCTACTGAGCACTCTAGAAAGATACCAAGAAGTGCATAGAATTTCTTGCAGTGGTGAGTTTTGAGACTCACTCTTCCTCACCCTAAACAAATTTCCTTCCCCAAGGCCCTGCTCATCTAACATGTGAATTGGAGAACTAGGTAAATTCGAAAATAAATGTTTGATGTTGCAAGCTTTTACGTTGTAATAGATCTGTTTTTCCAGGGGAAAACAATATTTTCCCAGATTTGGTTTTTGAGGGGGGTGTGAGGTTACAGAGTTGTTTTTCTGTTTTTTCATTACAGAGACACCTATGATTATGAACTTACCTTGCGAACTGACCTCTACACAAACAAACACACTCAGTGGTTTTATTTTCGTGTTCAAAACACCAGAAAAGATGCCACCTATCGCTTCACCATTGTCAACTTGCTAAAACCCAAGAGCCTTTATACTATAGGGATGAAGCCACTCATGTACTCTCAATTGGACGCTAGCACCCACAACATTGGCTGGAGGAGAGAAGGAAATGAAATCAAGTACTTTAAGAACAACACAGATAACGGGCATCAGCCTTTCTACTGTCTCACATGGACCATTCAGTTTCCACATGACCAGGACACTTGCTTCTTTGCACATTTCTACCCATATACTTACACTGATTTGCAGTGCTACCTCCTGTCAGTGGCAAAAAACCCCACCCAGTCTAGGTTCTGTAAGCTCCGAACTTTATGCAGAAGCCTAGCAGGAAATACTGTCTACCTGCTCACCATCACCAACCCATCCCAGACCCCTCAAGAGGCAGCTGCCAAGAAAGCCGTGGTCTTGAGTGCCAGAGTACACCCCGGAGAAAGTAATAGCTCCTGGATTATGAAAGGCTTTCTGGACTTCATCCTTAGTGACTCCCCAGATGCCCAGCTCCTCAGAGATATCTTTGTTTTCAAGGTGATTCCCATGTTAAATCCAGATGGCGTGATTGTGGGGAATTATCGGTGTTCATTGTCAGGAAGGGACTTGAACAGGCATTATAAAACCATTCTGAAGGAGTCTTTCCCTTGCATTTGGTACACCAGGAACATGATCAAAAGGTGAGACCTTTTATCTGTTGATCTTTCTGGGAATGCTATTAGCACTAGCACCACATACCTGATGGGGCATGAGGTCTCTTCTGCTGTTATAGGAATCTGGTATAGCTGTGGAGGCAGTCTTCACTATTCTTTTTGCAGTCAGGTGGGTTTGTTAATTTTCAGACTTTTAAATCATGTCTTATCTTTGGGTTGAAACTGAACATGCAATGTTTCAGCTAGAGTTATTTCACTTATAAGTGAAACAATTGAATGGAAAAGGTCTGAGGTCAGGGGAGTTCATAGGTATGCATGATGAGACTAGTGTGATGATAATAATAGTAGCTAACAATTAGGCAGCACTTATGTATGAAGTGATAGGCACTATTTTCAGTGCTTTACACATATGACCCATTTAATCTTCACATTAACCCTATGAGATAAGCACAATCTATATCCATTGTTGTATCTGATGAGGAAACTGAGAACCAGAAAGGTTAAGTAATTTGCCCAAGATCATACAGCTGTTGAGTGACAGAATAGATGTTTTAACATAGGCTCTCTGGCTCCGGAGTCTGAGTTCCTTATTATGATCTTCTATTGCGTCTCATGAAGAAAAAATAATCAGCATTTTTCAAGCCTGCGTAAAGGCAGTTAAAAGCTATAATGTAATAGCACCCACCTTAAGGAGCTTTCATTCCACTGGAAATAAAAATACAGAGTATAAAAATTTGTGAATGCAAACCTTATAACCATACCTGTGTGTACAGTTGGGAGTAGTGTTGGGCTGGTAAGCAGAGTGCCTAAGAGCATGTGTTTGGGAGTCAGACAGGCCTGGATTTGAAACCTGGTTCTACTACTGGCTGGTTCTATGAATTTGGCCAAGTGATCTAACCTCCTGAGCTTCAGCTTTTTCATCTGTAGACTGGGCTAATAATACCTGCCTTGGGTGGTTACTGTGAGGATTAAATGAGATCATTCATGTGATCTATTTAGCATAGCACCCAGCACATTATAAATGTGTAGCATTATTGTTATTATCCTCCTCATCCTACCATCATCATCATGGAGAAAGTGAACATGTTTGGAAGGTTGGAATAGGTGTCCTGTGTAATCAGGAGAAAAAGAAGAATTGATTCTTGTGGGAACTGGCCCTGGAAAGTCAGGAACCAGGGCTTTCTTTGTTTTTATGTTTTTGTTTTTGTTTTTGGCAGGAGGCTGGTATGGGGATCCAGTTCTTTGGTTCTTTTTCTTTCCGGCACCTGCAGCCTCTCTGCTTCCCTCCCTCTTTTCACAAGTCTGCAGCAGAGTGGGATTTATTTCTATAGGTTTTCTCCTCTTCCTCATCTGCTTACACATGTCTTACCCACAGCCACTTTCCACATCAGAACTTTTCCATTTCAAGTCCCTCTGGCAGGAGCAAAGGATGCTGGTAACATGGGTAACACGGTTTCAGCAATGCCTGAGGATGGGGATGGGAGGGTCCATTGAAGGCTATTTGAGTTGAGATTTTTTTAGGAGGGGAAGCCATACTTAAGGAAGAGACTCTAAATGATCCTTGATGATTTGCATGCATTTGGATGTCCACTGAGTCCTTTGTTTGTCCCCATCAATAGACTTCTTGAAGAAAGAGAGGTTCTCTTGTATTGTGATTTCCACGGCCACAGCCGTAAGAATAATATCTTCGTGTATGGCTGTAATAACAACGATCGAAAGTACTGGCTTCGTGAGCGAGTCTTTCCTTTAATGTTAAGCAAAAATGCACCAGATAAGGTAAGTACATAAGGTAGTTTTCTGTCCATTGACTGAGAGACAAGGGTACCTGCTGCTTCCTGTTATGTAGTGTTTTATATGGCACTTTGTATCTCTTTTTATTTATTATCAAGAATTTAGAAAGGTGTGGGTTTAAGAATTGCTCTGTGTCCATCAACCAGTGAGCAGATAAATAAAATGTGGTATATCCACAGAAGGGAATGTTAACCAGCCAAAAAAAGATTTAAGTACTGATACACTAGGACGCAGATGAACCTTGAGGACATTATTCAAAGTGAAAGAAGTCAGACACAAAAAGTCACATATTGTATGATTCCATTATACGAAATGTTCAGAATAGGCAAATCTATAGAGACAGAAAGCAGTTTACTGATTGCCTGGGGCTAGCTCAGGGAGGGTGGAATGGGGAGTGACTGCAAATGAGTACTGTGCTTCTTTCTGGGGTGATGAAAATTTCTTTTTCTTTTTTTTTTTTAAAAAAGATGACGAGTAAGGGGATCTTAACCCTTGATTTGGTGTTGTCAGCACCACGCTCTCCCCAATGAGCTTAACCAATCATCCCTATATAGGGATCCGAACCCGTGGCCTTGGTGTTATCAGCACCGCACTCTCCCAAGTGAGTCACGGGCTTGCCCTTCATTGTGGTTTTGATTTGCATGATTAGTGATGTTGAGCATTTTTTCACATACCTGTTGGCCATTTGTATGTCTTTTGAGAAATGTCTATTCAGATCATTTGCCTATTTTTTAATCTGTTTGGTTTTTTTGCTATTGAGTTGTTTGAGTTCCTTGTATATTCTGGATATTAATCCCTTGTCAGAGGAATAGTTTACAAATATTTTCTCCCATTCTGCAGGTTGCCTCTTCATTCTGTTGATTGTTTCCTTTACTATGCAGAAGCTTTTTAGTCTGATGTAGACCAATTTGTCTATTTTTGCTTTTGTTACCTGTGGTTTAGTAGTCTTCTTCATATAATTTGTGCCCAGACCAATATCTTGAAGTGTTTCCCCAATTTTTCTTCTGGTAGTTTTATAGTTTCTAACATTTAAGACTTTAATACATTTTGAGTTGTTTTTTTATAGGGTGAGAGATAGGGGTCTAGTTCCACTCTTCTGCATATGGATAACCAGTTTTCCCAGCACCATTTATTGAAGAAACTGTCTGTTTTAGTCTGTTTTGGGTTGCTATAACAGAATACCTACTCCTCCCCCAGGGAGAGCATTAATCCATTCAGAGGGATCTGCCCCCATGACTCAAACAGCTCTCAACACCGCCATATTGGGGATCAGATTTCCACGTGAGTTTTGGCAGGGACAACACATCCAAACTCTACCACTGTCCTTTCTCCAATGTATGTTTTTGACACCTTTGTCAAAAATCAATTGGCTGTAAATATACATGGATTTATTTCTGGATTCTCTATTCTGTTCCATTGGTACAAATGTCTGTTTTTATGCTAGTACCATGCTGTTTTGGTTACTATAGCTTTGTAGTATATTTTGAAGTCAAGGTAGTGTGATGCCTCCAACTTTGTTCCTTTTGTTCAAGATTGCTTTGGCTATTTGGGGTCTTTTGTGGTTCCATGTGAATTTTAGGATTGTTTTTACTATTTCTGTGAAGAATGTTATTGATACTTTGATAGGGATAGCATTGAATCTGTCTATTGCTTTGGGTAGTATGGTCATTTTAACAATATTAATTCTTCCAATCCATGAACATGGGATATCTTTCCATTTTTGTATGTCCTCTTTAATTCTTTGATCAGTGTTTTACAGTTTTCGTTATAGAGATCTTTTACTTCCTTGGTTAAATTCGTTCCTAGGTATTTTATTTTATTTTGTAGCTATTGTAAATGAGATTCCTTTCTTTTTTTTTTTCCTTTTTGTCTTTTTTCGTGTCCGGCAACGGATCGCAACCCTCAGTGTCGCGCCCACACCGGACCGGGACCGGCAACGGGATCACAACCCTCGGTGCTGCGCCCGCACCTCGCTCAGCCAGTGAGCGGGAACCGGTCTGTATGTGGGATCCGAACCCTCGGCGGGAGTGCCGCCGCACTCCCAAACGGCACACTGTAGCAGTGCGCCACCGGGCCGGCCCGAGATTCCTTTCTTGATTTCTTTTTCAGCTGGTTTATTGTTGGTGTATAGAAATGCTAATGGTTTTTGTATGTTGATTTTGTATCCTGTAACCTTACTGAATTTATCATTTCTAAGTGTTTTTTGGTGAAGTCATTAGGTTTTTCTGTATATAAGATCATGTTATCTGTAGTTGAAACTCTTAGTGGGTAGAGTTATCTATCTCTTTTAATCCTGTGGTTAGCAGTGGAAGAAGAGATTGAAGGACGAGCAAAATGCCAATGTCATATGAGTCTCCACAGAAAAGGTCATGTAATACAAAATCACAAATAACTAAGATTTTAAAGAGCTAATAAAAACAACTTAAAAGTTTTTAATAGTTGGCTAACAGCTCTGCGACACTTGGGCATATACAGATAATCTGTATTGGTTTAGAAGGTGGTTTTTCATATCATAAATATATCTACAAAATGTAGGTGTCATGAGAAAGAAGAAAGTAGGTTGGATTTAGAAAGATATTTAAATGATAGTGCAAACTTTCTACCATTAAGATGTATGAGACAAATATCTTTTATCTGCTACACTTATCTGTTAAAAAAAAAAAGGAAGCTTTTCTTCCTCCCTCCTTCTTTTCTTTCTTCAGATGAAAACATATTCAGAACACAGTGTCTAAAACAATTAAAAGCAGAACTGCACTAATTGAAGCGGTGAGGTCCCCCCTCTGCCTCATTTAGTCCTTGAGGCAGGAATGCCCTGAGGCTCCTCACTAGAACCCCAGGATTCCAGAGCACAATTTAAAAATCACTGGATAGTGAGATACCTTCCAAATGTAAAACCTTTTCAGCAGGATAGGATAGGTAGAAATAGGTGCCAAGCGTACAGTCATGCTTCGCTCAATGATTCTGAGAAATGCATCCTTAGGCAATTTTGTCATTGTGTAAAAGTGTATTATGAAAGGGAACAGCAGTGAATTTTCCTGTTATCTACACTGGCCATTAGTTGCACTCCTCTTCAATATATTTTGCTGGTTTGTTTATACCAGCATCACCACAAACAAATGAGTAATGCATTGAGCTACAATGCTAATATGCAATAGGAATTTTTTTAGCTCCATTATAATCTTACAGGACCACCATTGTAAATGCGGTCCATCATTTACCAAAATGTTATTATGCAGTGTGTGACTATGTGTTACAAACTCCAGGTGAGGAAAAAGGACTGGGGTGGTCATAAAAGGCAATGCTGGATATTGAACTCCAGGTGATAAGATTAGCGTAAGGAAGAGAGAGAGTTCCGTGCAGAGATTATGGGGCAGGGAATACACGAATCATATATAGAGGGTAAACCCAACTAGATCCAAGGATTCAGGTTGGGGAGTGGCAGAAAATAAGTCTTAGAAAGGCTGGCTAGTACCTTGAATGACAAAGTAAGCCAGCATTGCCAAACAGATGTTCTAGAACGCTAGTCCTGCAAAATGCTCCTTGGGGGAGTGATGAGAGGGGAAGAAGGAAGGGTTCATGGGCAAATAAATTTGGGAAACAAAATACAAATATACTCCCTTCCTTTTGGAGGATCAGAGTCCACAATAGCATAGTAAATGCTCTGAGAGGTCCTGCAGAGGAAGCCAGTTTAATTTTGTTAACTCTTCACCTCCTTGACTAACATGACCACAGAATTTGCTTTTTCTCGTCCAATACATAGTAACATCCTCAGAATTAGTATTTTATGGAACATACTTTAGGAAATAGTATATAGACCCCGAGGGAACCATTCTTGTACCCCATTAATGAATCTTAGACATTGTACATCTGCTGGATTATGATTAACAGAGAATTTGGATTTCTCTTTAGTTCTCTTTTCATAGTTGTAATTTTAAGGTTCAAAAGTGCAAAGAAGGAACAGGGCGAGTTGTGATGTGGCGGATGGGAATACTGAACAGCTACACCATGGAGTCTACCTTCGGTGGATCCACCCTCGGTAAGCTCTCCTTTGTATATCATAGGCCAGCATGGCAAGAGGTAGCCAGGCAAAGTATGTGGGGAGGTATCTGCTTTTGAAAGTTGGGAAGATAACCGATCTAGAGAATTTCCTTGTCTGACCTTATGCTAAATTTGAGTACCCAAAATATGAATGTGAAATATAATATTTCACGGGACAGTATAGCATAGTGGTTGCCAAGGATCTGGAATCAGGAAGATATGGGCCAGGGCCGGCCCAGTGGCGCACTACTACAGTGCGCCGCTTGGGAGCACAGTAGCGCTCCCGCCGAGGGTTCGGATCCCACATACAGACCAGTTCCCGCTCACTGGCTGAGCGAGGTGCGGGTGCAGCGCTGAGGGTTGCGATCCCGTTGCTGGTCCCGGTCCAGTACGGGCGCGACACTGAGGGTTGCGATCTGTTGCCGGACACAAAAAAAGACAAAAAAAAAGGAAAAAAAAAAAAAGGAAGATATGGGCTTGATTTTCAGCTCCATCTACAAGCTGTGTGATCCTGGGTAAATTACTTAACCTTTTTGAACCTCTTTTTCCTTTAACTGGCAATAATAATAGTACCTGCATTATAGGTACTACTTAATGAGATAGTTCATATTCTGCCATAGTGTCTACCACAAAGTAAAACCTCAGTAACTGTAGCCATCATGATCCTAATTTTTTCCTTGTCAAAGATTCTTCTGAACCAAACTATAACTGGGAGAGCTACCCTGTCCAGAAGCATAATATTGTAGAATCAGAGGTGTTGGGGGCTGGCCGGTTAACTAGGTTGGTTAGAGTACAGCCTTGTAACACCAGGGTCAAGCGTTTGGATTCCCATATTGGCCAGCTGCCAAAAAAGAAAAAAAAAATTAGAATCAGAGGTGATATTTTTAAAAAGATATTCATAAATTAGATTTGCATTCAGTCATTACGATTAAATAATAAATGTTTATGGATTTTTTTCCAGGCAGTAAAAGAGACACTCACTTTACCATTGAGGATCTGAAGTCCCTAGGTTATCATGTCTGTGACACCCTTCTGGATTTCTGTGATCCTGACCAATCCAAGGTAAATAGGGGTTTCAAGAAATGTGGTGATGCTACCGGTATTAGTTTCATATGGGTCCAAAGTCAGCCCAGTGGGATTACAGGTGATCTTGATTTTCTTCTCAATAATTTTCCAATAATAATCAAAGCAAATAAAAAATCCCCTAGCCCACACGCTGTCAGCAAATGGTGAGCCCTCATAATTCACCTAGAAGATGGAGGCCATCCTTCAGCACCCTCTGCCTCATTTCTAGGCTTACCCATGGCAGCACCAATTCTTAACTTCCTTTTCTCCTAGTTCAGAAAATCAGGTGTCCTTTCTCTTCTCCAATACTAACCCTGACCTGTGTGTACTTGTCAATTTCCCTACAGCCTCACTGAGGTCTTGCCTCATTAATTACCTCTTCTCTTCTCTGTGTCTTTAGTTTGTTCCTCTTCTTAATTCCTCCCCTAAACTGCAAGTGTTCTCAAGCTTCCTCTATCCTAAAACACAAAGGTTTCCTTTGGCCTCGTTTCTTAAGCAGGTTATTTCTATTCCTTTCATCGCTCAGCTTCTTAAAAGGGAGTCTGTGCTCATGGTCTCTAACTCATCTCTCATATCCTTACTAAAATGCTGGCCCTGGAAACACTTGGTAGGCACCACCCTGGATTCAATTGTTTAATAAAAAATATTTCAAGGAAAATTTGGCCACAACATAGCCTCTTAAATCATTTTTGCTATAGGTCAAAATCCGAACAATCCTATTCTAACTTTTCCTTACTCGATACTCAAAAAAATAAAATAAATCAGGCCATTGCTGTAGGGAGAGTGAAGGAAAACGGTCAGGGCCTGTCAGATGTTCAGAATCTTGTCGAGCATTTGATGTAAATAGGCATGTGTGCCCAGGTGTTCCTTGGTTATGGTCTAATGTTAGTGTGCATGTGCACCCAGGTGTGTCCTGGGTTATGACTTAAGTATAAAGGATGAGTGGTTATAATCTACAGGGCCCCCCTGCCCCTGGGATGTCCCCGGGGGGCCACGGGGAGGCTGCCACTGCTGCCGGAGGCTGTTGCTGCCAGTGCCCCCGAGATGCCCCAAGAGGCCACCGCCCCACTGCTTCTGCTGCTGCTACTGCTGCTGAGGACTGAGGTCGTGTCATCTGCCAGTGGCTCCCAGGATCTTTCCCAGTTACCTAACGTGGACCTGTGTGTGAGGGGTCTGGTGACCCAGTCTGTACAATGGGTTTGAAAGGTCTGAGCCCTAGCTCTGACAGTATAAATGGAAATTTAGTGTGACTAAAATAATGAAATGTTTTGGCTTTAGTTATGAAATGCCTAGCCATACAATTAGTGTAGCTATTGCCTCTACCTGACAACTGGCTAGTCATGTAGCTATTGCTGTAGCTTTACAATCGCATTGTTTAAGAAATTGGCTATAGCCAGAGAAAGTGACTAAAGCAAGTGCTCACTGATATTCTGCCCTAAACAATTTGTTTCTACAGCTCACGTAATTTATCTGTTAACACGTCCTTAGTAGCAGGCAGGGGCTGCAGCTTACTGTCTTTGTGTTCCCAGCAATAAATAAAGTGCCTTTCAGCATATACTTAGTAAATATTTGATGAATAGGGCCGGCCCGGTGGCGCACTGCTACAGTGTGCCACTTGGGAGTGCGGTGGCGCTCCTGCCGAGGGTTCGGATCCCACGT